TCTATCTATGGGCATGACCGCACAGCTCGCGGAAATGTGCAAAAGACATAACCTACATATGCATTGGGGGGCTTATCTTTCCATTTTTTTTTCAATTATGATGATTATTATTATTTTAAAGATGCTTGTAAGATGCTAGGATGCTAGGCTTTTATATTGCAAATCCGGCTACTAACGAGGTGGGGACCACACCCCAAATGTAAGGTGATAGAGTGCCGAGCTCATTCATCAACCTGACTGTTTGTAACCATAGGCCAGGCGGCAACGCAGACAAAACAGAAACCAGATAAACAGAAAACAAAAAACGAAAGCATCTGTCCACAAAACGCGGCAAAATGCATTAGTTACTACTAGTAGTAAGCGGATGAATGAATTGTTCCATTCTTGGTGGGAAGATGCATTCGTTTCGTCTTCAGGGAAGGTAGCAAAGTGCGTCGGGTACTCCTTATAGAAATCCAATGGATTGTTCCATATTCAGCGGCAAGATGCATTGGTTTTGTTTTCATTTCCACTGCAGTGCGGCCAGGGCCTATTTACCGGACTGGTGTTTCAGTGGAACAGTGCCCCCGACCATTTTAAGAGCGGGAGGAGGAGGGGGTAGTCGAGGAGACCGTTCATTGTAGGGGACATGGATCATTCATGGCTATGGCCAGAAAGGTTGCAAACTCGGAGGAGAAGGCGGCTATGGCGGCAGGCTCACCATGCATCGTCTCCGAAAAGCTCGGAGGCTAAGACGGCTATGGCGGCAAGCTCGGCGGCGAAGGCGGCTATGGTGGCGGGCTCACCGTGCATCGTCTGCGAAAAGAGTCCGAACACCGAACGACTCTTTAGGTATATATACACTCTACTGGGTGTATGAGTCTCTTTTTTTAATTTTATTTTATCCAAAATTTTCACAATCAACAACAGGTCCGTTTTTATTTTTGTTTTTGCTTGTTTGCCCAGGTTTTTGTCAAGGTGGGATACTAGACAGACCACAGTAGTCGGCCATTCGGTGAGGAGCAGCAAATGATGGAAGCCAATCCAGTGTCCCATACAAAATTACGGTAATTAATATTTTAAAAAATGCAGCTCTCCACACTCATGTCTTTTCCTCCTATGGTTACGGCGAGAGGCAAGGATTACGTACTCATCTCCCACCAAATCTTTCTATTAATCTGAATCCACCTTTTTTTTTTCGTTTCTTTTCTACTAAATATCATGACTGGCAGAAAAGTCTCTCCATCTTCCTTTCCTTTCTCTTGTTTTTAATTTTCTTAATCCTCCTCTTCCATTTCTCGATTTATGCGAGTCATGCTTGCGCAGGGGCCATGCCTGTCTTCTTTCTCTTTATCGCTCCAATTTTTACGGATGCCCCAAAGGAATTTATCCTCTTCCCCTTCTTTCCCTCTTCCCAAAAAAGAAGGGCGACGGCCATGAGATATCATAGCGGAATTCACCGCCCCTGGTAAATCAGATATTTATTCACCTACTTCCATCTGGATTGGAACGCAGGTCTGTATTTCAACAATACACGAGGTGAACCAGCGGGCCAACTGTGCTAGGCCAACTGAGGTAGGCCCGTTGGTTCCTTATTTCACTATAATTGCCCTTTTGTATCCGTCACCACTTCTTATTGCGGTTGTATGTGCTATACATAAACCTGGGAGAAACATTTCTCCTCTGCCCCCCTTTCGTGGCAAACTCTCTCTCTCTCTCTCTCTCTCTCTCTCTCTCTCTCTCTCTCTCTCTCTCTCTCCCC